TGCCTGCTCGCCTGGTTTTGGTACCCATTCCCCGCTGGTTACCCCCCGGCAATAAGACACACATTGTTTGTCCATTTGTACCACTTCCATCCTAAAACAATATGTTTATACATTTGGTCATAGCAGATCAACTCTACACTCGGAAGCTTTAGGCTTTTTAGATTTTTTGTGTGTCCTCTTCTACCCAGTCTCAGCATCGCCTGTTGAATAAAGATAAAACGCAGTTCAGTTCATAAATTGGAGTTCATAAATTGGGCCTGACAGGAGGCACATTGCCTGAGGTGGGTTCTTCAGTTCATCTATGACAATACTGCCTTCCAGACAGGTTTTCAGGTTTCACATTTTCCTCCAACAGGAATGTCTTTGAAGGCGTACTAATTATCAATATCCTAACAGCGTGTGAGAAACAAGAAAAAGAAAGGACATAATATTAAAAATATTAAAATGTGGAAGTAGTACTCCCTTTTTACTAGTGAACAATGATTTGTTTGCACAGTCTGACAGGAGTCACTGAATGCTAGTTTACAAACTAAATTATTGCATTGCAAACACTGCGCAACATTAATTGACGATAACGGAACCCTCAACAACAACAACTAGATAAATGTACCCACCTGAGACCAATGTCTATCGCAGCAGTTGACCAAACTGTTCATCAGGCTTGTACAGAAAGCACATCAAAATATTTTTTATTTTTCCATAAAATTTTCTGTGGCTGCGGTGAAAAGAAAAAATGCGAAAGGCCCTATATAGAGCCAGTGTTTGGTTTGTACATTCTGGCCTACTGTAGAAACATGGCGCTTCCCCCTGTAGATTAAAACAGCTCATTCTGAGGTAAAGATTATTATTTTCATGTGAATATACCTATGACTATCATATTCAATATCTACCAATAGATCCTCCTAAATGTTACACACTGGACTTTTAAAGCAGCTCTGATCATGCCCAGACAAGTTGAATTAATAAGCTAATTAGAAGCTGGCAAAGTGCTGCAATGCTGATAAGGGAGTGTGGTCCAGGCTAAAAATTGATATATTTAAGTCTGTTCAACTCAAAGATAGTAGTGAAAATTGCCCTCATAATAATACAATATACAGACTTGTTAAGTAATGTAATCAAACTCAATATTGTCAGTAATAGTTGTTATATTATATTATAATAGAAACAAATTTAGGGCATACAGTGAAAAATAATAATAGTCAAATCTCAGTTTTCCCAAACCTTGATGTTTTCTTTGGTATTTAAAATCAACTGGCAAGGGGCACACAGGGCTGTTGTGTCCTATTGATTGAACTAGGGTCAAGTTCCCTCGCTGTGAGTTTGTACATGGGCACTTGAGGCTGCAATGACAATCAGTTTATACGACAGTGACAACAGGACATTAATGAGAGGACAGGAGAGGAGAGGAAAGATAAGGTCGGAGGAACATGACAGAAAGGGGAAGAAAGGATAAAAAAAGCAGAGCCATGAGAAACATCTTTTGTTTTTCTCATTTGCTTCTTGTAACTGCCATTATGTTGGCCACTATTGTGTCATGGTTATTGTTACGCTTTCTGTAGACACGCAAGAGATGGTTTCTAAGCCTCTCTAGGCTGAAGACTGAGGGAAGTGATAAGAGTGAAAAGCCATAATTTCACATTAAACAGAAATTATCATCCACAGAAGAGCTCATATTTGTAGATAGAGCACAGAGAGGAAGTCTCTAAATCAGATAGAACTCTCTATAGACTGTTGTTTTAATGTAGAAAGGAAGCTATTAGACGACTTTAGAGTCTGATAGCCTTTTTTTTTACCTGCCCTTCCTCCTTCATGAGGAAATGGTTTCCAAGACTGACACTCATCTGATTTGAGTCACATTGTTTGTCACGGGCATCAAGTGATAGGAATAAGAATCCATATAAAAAGCCATTAGTTTTCTATTACTGCCAAGCTGGATGGACAGGCACTCAGTGCTGAGCCGAATCACTGTGTTTAAAGTGTCAGGTTGGTTGAAAGAAGTCTACCTCTGTGGGGGCTCCCCTGCCACTTCCCTGGGGGCTGAGTGGCTGAAATGACCATAAAACTCTGTTGAGCTAGACAGCCTGTAATTTCAGCAGCGAGTGGCGCTTTGCCGAGGTATAATGGAAAGCCCGTGGAAGCCATGAAATTTGCTGCATCCCGGTGTTGGAACACCATTGTCTGAACACTCAGGACACCTCTCTAAACTTTAAATTACTGTTTTTAAGCCATCATTGTCTGAAAGAGCTCTGCATCTAAAAAAGAAACACAGTGCTTGTTCAGTTTCTTTAATCTTCAGTGGTCTTTGCTGTTGCCACAGAAAACAGACGTTCACATTCTTTACTAGTATAAAAGTTAAAGACGCTTTGCCCATGAGAAATGGGAAAAATGGAAAATGTGGTTCTAAAGGTTGCTTTGTATAGGCACAATGGAGTTGCTCCTTCTCCCCTCTGTCTGTTGTATCTTTTTTATCATCTGTGGTGTGATTGTGGGTACAAGTGCCTTTTTTCACTCAGAACAGGAATGGATGAGAGAGGGCTTTGAGTGAAGAGGACAGGTGTGGAGAGGGATAGGTTTGTATTTGGGTGTTCTTTTTTTGTGTGAATTAACATTATGTTCTGTGTATCGCTATTTGAGTGTGTGTGTGTGTGTGTGTTTGCGTGTGTGTGCATCCATATCAGTCTTTGCAGCCATGGTAGAGCAACTATATACGTTGCGTTTTCTGAAGCATGGCTTTAGATGTGATGTTAGCAGCATGTCACATTGAGAGGCTCTCCGGGTGATTTGATAGGAGGGCGGCTGGAGATGGAGTTGGAGTAATGAAGTGAGTCTGAGTGGGGTTTGCTGCTGGAGGCCCAAGCCCATCACACCACACTGGCTGCATCTCTGCTGTGGTGAAAGGCAGAGAGAGAGAGGGAGAG